CATGTACTCAAACTGCTTTCCTGTTTTAGGCAGTGTTGCATGCTGTTTTAGTGAGGTCCTTTCTAATGCCCATTCAGCTGTACAGAATAAGTAAATTGCACAAACTCAAATGAGTTTTCAAGCAGTAAATGGAAAATATAATCCTAAATCAGACAGCCACACTTATTTTTCCCTGCCCCTCCTCCCTCCCCCCACCCCGAACTTGATACTTTCTTTAAAACAGTCTATTTGGAATAGTCGAGGTTTACTTGAAAGCACTGTGGACGTTTTAACCTGAGTTCCTTAGTTAGCATTAGAAGAAAAACATGAAGTTTAAAACAGTTTCTGTAAACTTTTATACACTATCATTACTTTTACTGTGATGTACTCTTGAAATTTTAACTGGATATCTCAGATATTTACCTCTATCACTTGACTAAAACAGAAGTGCTAAGTTTATAAGCATGATAATAGGATTCATAATTGAGAAAGTCAATAATTTAGTCTATTTTTTTTTTTTCTGTGGGGGGGCGTGGTGGGGTGAGTGGGGCTAGATATGTTCAGGCTGAGGACAGGCTCGAGAAGATGAGCCATGAGTACCCGGAAAGGCAAAGAGAATCTGGTGGTTGGTTGTTTCTGACACGTCACCTCTTCTATTTTCCCAATACATGGAGACGGCTGGCACAGAGAAAGTTTTGTGGTTTCTGTTTGGGGCCACATCAGCTGAGCAAAAGAAAGCAGCTGTCAAAGCTTGGCAGATTTATACAATGGGAGACCTGTAGGAAATAGGCTCATACAGTTTTGAGAGTTAAAGACAAGCATTTTTTATTTGATGACAAGAAAATGGAGTCAGTAGAGGAACATGCATGGGGAGATTGAAAGCTAACACTCAGCAGAATTTAGTTGATCCAATAAAATGTTGTAGTCAGGAAATTACAGTTGGCCTTTAGTTCAATTTTTGGTAGTGCCAAGTCCTAGAGACTGGCACTGTTTTAGTATTTAGAGAGGTCAATTTTTCTACAAATTCACAAATAAAGCACTGAGCTTTCTATTGATTTTGCTTCTTTGCTGTCACATCTTTTGTCCTTGACAATGGACTCCAGCCTGTCCAAAACCCTTCTGTAAATCTTACCAGCCAAATTATTCTGAAATTAAAATTCAAGTATTTGAGTATGGCATATGGGGAACGTTGTAAGAGGTTTTATATGGTATTTTGCTGAAACAATACACACGAGGTAACCATGGTATATACAAGAAATACTCATATCATAGTGATGATGTAGGTATGAAAGTAAATATAAACACACATATATAAATGCAATATACCACTATACATACCTTCATATTCTCTTTCTCCATTCATAAATTTCAGATCCATCCATCTTTCTCACTCCCCTCTGCCTCAGGATCATCTAGAATGTTTTCCTGCAGTTCTGGGATAATATGGTATATTAAAGAATACAAACTGTTTCATAGCTGGTACTAGATGATCACTCAAAGTCCCTTCTAGTTGAAATTATTATATTGTTTTCTATTCTTTTGTTTGTACATCACAACTTGCAGAGTAAGGGGTGAGAATTTATACATAACAGTGCTCCTGCTGGAAGACTACAGAGACTGTGCCTAAGTGTAATTATTATTATAGTATTAAAATTAACACTATATATGCCTACTCTATAAGATTTCTGTAGCCTCCATCCTACTTGTTGCTACACACTTGTATTTGACAAATGACTTAAACTTCATAACTAGGCCCAAATTCGAGGTTAGCAAAAGTTAAAAGGGCTAAAACATTAGAAGTGTTGCAATTGTAACTAAAGAGGCAGGGGTCACTGATGCCTGCTTATAGTGCACACCCGGGCTCTATAAAGAGCCTTCCCTGATACCAGTCTGTGGAAACTGCTCTCAAAAGTGAATGAGGAAATTATTCTTAATGACTGGTGAGTTGTTAATATCTTCTCTGTGTTCTCAGTCCATATTTCAGTGACATCCAAGTAAATTGCTAAAAGGGACTGGGTAGGATCTTACAGCATTGGCATGGTGCTACTTGTTAGAAATAATACAGAATTTATTTATTTATTTTTCTAGTTAATGTTAATATGCTCTATTACAACTGAAGCAGAAGAAAGAAAGAAAGGCTGAGGTTATCCTTTTGTTTATTCTTATCTCTGACTTTTAAAAGCACATGGAACTTTTATGGCCTACTGAAATATTTCCCTCTCTCCCAGGCTGTTAGTTAAAATTTTCTTATCACATCATGCTGCTCAATCAAGATAAGGAGAAATCTTCATCATGCTACACTATACAACTCTCCCTCTATTCCAGCCTTGTTCCAAAATCACGCCATGGTGGTCAATAAGTTCATTCAGGGGGCTTTACGTGGGAGGAAGAAAAAAGAAGGGAGAAAATTAAAAAAGGGATAAAAGGCAGAACCCCCCAAATAAATCTTTATCCTATATGATTGGTAAAGTCTACAAGTCCTTCTACTTTCTTTTCCCCACCACCCACGTGCTGCCTCTGGCAGACAGAGTCTGTAGAACATCATCTCTAAGCAGGCAAACAGTGCCCAGAAGATCTAAAAAGTACAGGTGGCCACTCTTGGCTTCTAACAGCAGCCTTGAAATGCTCTCCAGTCCTCAAGACTGTGGCATCCCAAATTCCAGATGTGAATTTTTGCAGCTGGAGAGAAGAAAGGGAGAAGAAAGATAGAAGATGATTCCAAAAAGAACTGGAGATACATTGGCAACTAATGAATCCGAGGTTTAATTTTGAACTCCTTTTTTGGGGTCTCAGACTCTTGTTAGACTGACCTTGCCTCGTCGTAAGAAATTGAACAAAGGTGGGCCCTTAGAAGGCTGAAAACTGCAGGTGTATATATCTGTACTTCCAAAAACTCATGAAGAATGCTGAAGAACCGGCCTACAGAAATGACAACTCAGAAGACATGATATATGGTGATCACTACCGAAGAAATGCAAGTTGAAAGACAAATACATTTACTCTCATTAGGGCAAGAATACATAAATTTTCACATGATTTATATAAAACTTATTGCAAATACCCCCTCCACAAAAAAACAAAACAAACAAATTGAAACCCACAACCTTATCCCCCCTGTTTTGTATTATTATGATAACAAATCTGAAAAAGTTTGGTAAGTTATTCCTTTCAACAGTACTTTCCAGTCAGTTTCTTGGCCTTTTCACTTACTTTTCTGTGCTGCAAGAAGCCTCATATATGTTGTGCCATCAGCATGGTGGTCCATTGTTTTAACACCAGGTATAATGATATATATAAAATCTCAGATAATCAAAATTAATTTATTGCAATGCATATTCCTGTTCCTAGTCTTAAGAATTGTTGGAGGAAAGCAGCAGCCCCCTATAAGGAAATCTCTGTTAGTGAAGTTTGACAGTAACACAGAATAGTTACACAGGAAGTTTCTGCTCATGCTTTGAACCAGCCAGCCAGGGCTTAAGGTACAGATTTCCTGAGCCGACTCCAGACACAGGAGTGACCCTGTCAGGACCCTCCACTTCGCCTTTTCTCCTGTGTCACGTCCATGGGTCACAGAGATGCAAACCTCTCCATCCTGCCTGAGGCTCTCTAACCACCCACCCTCTTATAACTTTTATTTCTCACACTCCCCCCACCTAGTGTTTTAAAGCACTTGTTTCTTTGCTATTTTGCAAAGCATCCCGGGTAAAATTTCAAGAGAAATTGGAAGCAGTGCTACAGCTCTTTTTGATGTGCATGTAGTGGCTCTTAAAAGAGCCTTTGGGTCTATGTTGGCTACGGCAGGAGACTTAGGCGCGCTCGCCGCGGATGCGGCGGGCCAGCTGGATGTCCTTGGGCATGATGGTGACGCGCTTGGCGTGGATGGCGCACAGGTTGGTGTCCTCGAAGAGCCCCACCAGGTAGGCCTCGCTGGCCTCCTGCAGCGCCATGACGGCCGAGCTCTGGAAGCGCAGGTCGGTCTTGAAGTCCTGCGCGATCTCGCGCACCAGGCGCTGGAAGGGCAGCTTGCGGATCAGCAGCTCCGTGGACTTCTGGTAGCGCCGGATCTCGCGCAGCGCCACCGTGCCGGGCCGGTAGCGGTGCGGCTTCTTGACGCCGCCCGTGGCCGGCGCGCTCTTGCGGGCAGCCTTGGTGGCCAGCTGCTTGCGGGGCGCCTTGCCGCCCGTCGACTTCCGCGCCGTCTGCTTCGTGCGCGCCATGGCCCAGCACCAACAACAACTGAAAGAAAAAAAGAACTGAATGCCCCCTCGCTTCCAGCGCCGATATTTATAGAGCAGACCCGTCTCTGATTGGACCGCAAAAGCGCGATGTCATTGGCTGCCGTGGGATCCCAGCGGGGCCCGAGGTGGCTGAAGCTCTGCCCGAAGCCTCTCGGCTCCGCGGCTGCGACCGCAACGCGCTCGGTGCGGATCCAGGGCCTGGGGCGAGCCGGGAATTTCAGACACAATGCTCGTATCCCTTCTGCTTCTCCGGCTCTGCATCTCTGCCAGTCGCCTGACAGATTGAAAACAGCGTAGAGGGTAAAATTCAGCAGTTTTTGTTTTTTTTTCCCACTTTATTTTTTATTTCTTTGTGTCTTTGTTTTGTTTTGCTATTTTTAATGATGGGCTGGTTACAAAAGAAGGAAAATTCTCTTTTAGTGCTGTACAGAGCTCTTTACGTGGATAGGCACATTTTTCCCAAAGAAACAAAGGATAGATGGTCTGGTACCTTGAAAGAGAAGGATTTAAAAAAATCCAATAATGCAACTTTGTAGCTATATTTAACAAGCTGTAGCGATTGAGATAATTTGAAAGCTACTATTTTCACGTTTTTCGTGATTTAATTTCCCGAAGAAATCCTGCATGCATTAGGCAATTGACTTTCTTTTGGTGGTTTTTTTTTTGTTTGTTTGTTTGGGGTTTTTTTTTGTTTGTTTGTTTTTGGTTTTGTTGTGAAATGAATTGAAAAGGAATATGGTACTGGTCTCCTTTTTAATTTTCGAAGGTTTGAGAAAATCAGCCATGACCACAAATATTTATTGATATCATTGTTTGCAACTGTGAAATGATTTTCAAAGGTTTTATATAAAGTTAAAATAGGGTTTTTCCTTTCAGTCATGAAGTACAACAAAAATATACTTCATGTGAACCCAGGACTGGAGTTCTCTTCATATGTGAAAATGAGAAAAATCCCAACACAAGGCTTCTTTTGGTAATTTTTTCAACAAAATGTACTTCTGGGTTCATCTTTATTTTTATTGTTCAGTCCTCTCCCATCCCTTTTACCTCCCAGTCCCATCAAATGATCACTAGAAAACAGAATTAGATTTACTTTTTTATTTTAGAATAAATGAGAGAAGGAAATAAAGGGGGGTAAATAGAAACATCAGAAAGAAAATTCATCCCAAAGTAAATTTCCAAATTTTCCCTAGTCGAAAAATTCAAATTTCTTTCTACTGAGTTAAGCACAGAATTTATAAAATTAAGGCATAGAAAACCATTATACATAATTGCTTAAATCAGCGGACATTAAGAAGTTTTATTGTAATGACAGTCCTTGAACCGAGTTTTATCAGGATTTGGAACACAAAAGATCCACATCATAGGGCAAAGACGAATTCCTTGTTAACAGCTGACTTACACATTTGAGACCCCCCCTCTACAAAGCATTAGTATTGCATAAACAATTCTGGAAATAGTTTGGTCTTCAAATCTCTGCAACTTTGTAACACAGCTCTCTTAAAGGAATACGTAGGTGGCTCTGAAAAGAGCCTTTGATTTTTTCTAGGTGCAGTCCGAAGTGAATAGAAGGCTTTAGCCGCCGAAACCGTAGAGAGTGCGACCCTGGCGCTTAAGGGCGTAGACCACGTCCATGGCCGTGACCGTCTTCCTCTTGGCGTGCTCCGTGTAGGTGACGGCGTCGCGGATCACGTTCTCCAGGAAGACCTTGAGCACACCGCGCGTCTCCTCGTAGATGAGCCCCGAGATGCGCTTAACGCCGCCGCGCCGAGCCAGGCGGCGGATGGCCGGCTTGGTGATGCCCTGGATGTTGTCGCGCAGCACCTTGCGGTGGCGCTTGGCGCCGCCCTTGCCGAGCCCCTTGCCGCCCTTGCCCCGGCCAGACATGACGAGACCACCGCAGCCGCTGCCGACAGTGCCGGTGTGAGGCAGCTGCGGCAGCGCCGCGGCTTTTATGGTGTTGGGTCCGACCTGGTTGAAAACTGCGGATGAAGGGGGCGGGACTTCAGTCTGTCTCCCGCCACCTCCCCGCTGTTTCTATGGCGAGGCCCGCGAGCAGAAAATCCCGTGATTTGTGTGAATTTCCCTTCTCCGAGGCACAGTGGGTTCGGTGTTTCGCTTTTCGGTGCGTTCTTGTGTTTCATATAGAAGGACAGCGTGTCTGGTTTATTATAATAATTCATGTAATTTTTTCCAACGTTTGATATTTCGTGATAGCTTAGAAGAAAAAGCTCATTCATAGAAAGTTACCCCACTTATTGATTAACTTAAATTATGCTCCGATTTGTTATTTTCAAAGATTCATTTCTTATGTATTTCGGTTTCACCTGCTTGCATGAATTCTCCTGAGCTACTTCTCTGTTTATACAGTTACTTCACTATTTAAAAATAGATAATCTTGCAGTGAATTCTACCCAGTCGTGTTTCTGAGAAATTCTATCCGTTCTCATTTTTTTCTCACATCTTTTTTTCTCGCCATCTCTGAATGTTATCTCAAGGTGAATTTACCTGTACAGGTATGCTAATTGAGACTTTACATATTTCAGTTTAATTTTTTAAGGTAAAAGTATTCTTTCGGACGAATATTTTTACAGTATTTTCCAGTGCGGTTGTGCCATAAACAAGAGCATGTCTATTTTTAGAGTAATTGAAAAATTAAATACTTAAAAAGGGTGATTATGCATTTCTCGGGTATTTATTAATTCCAGTTCCGTCTCTTTAGTGAAGGAAAATGTTCTGAAATTTTGCTGTTGAAATTTAGCTCTATTTAGCAAAAAATATTCAGTAGATCATTTTCGACCTGAAAATTATCTGGAATGATACAAAAGGTTTCCTGTATTGGGTGTTTGCTGCCCTCTCATGGACATTTTTTTGATTGCTTGATAGTGTTTGTTTTTTCTTACTGGCTGGTCAGGTTTATGTAGTGTGTGTTTTCATGAGGCTACAACAAAAGATTGAACAATAATCCATCTATCTTCCCTTAGAACACAGATAGAGATGTTGCACCTGTTAGCAGAGAAATCACTGTTGAGTGGCCCCTCCCTCACTGATAAATGGAAATAATGCGATCTGTCTCATGTTCATGCAGCATCTTTTCAGCATGGGCTCAAAGAAAATCCAAATGGGTAAGACAAAAATTCTGAAAGAGACATCCTAAAATTCTAAACTTCTAACAAAGGCTCTGTTCCACATGGAACTTGATGATATTCTCACCTGGGCTATGGAGATACTTCTGGAATGCAGTGGGGATGCCACAGCTCAGATCGTGGTGTTATCTTTCCTAAGGGCAGTTTGCTCCTTTTAGGGAGATAATTTCAGAAACCATGACTGGTCTGCTATGGAAGATCAAGCTATCAGGAGAAACTGGGCCCTCTGCAGTCAGCTCTTCTGTCATTTGCAGAAGATTTTGGAGTAAGGTAGGTATGTCCTGCACTGGTAACTATGCACTTGGTGTCATGTTTGCAACAGGTTTTTAATCTCTGAGTACACAGATGAATCCCCAGGGTGTTACCAAAAGGGCAGTTTAGCACTACTTGCTGCAGAACTCCCTGAACTTACTCTTTTATGAAAATCCAGACCTTCAGTCTGTTCAAGCAGACTTCAGGGACTCTGACTTTATCACAGATCCTCCTTGAACTGTTTCCACTTGCAGGTGCCTGCCATGAGGCCATCACAAAATCCTGGGCAAATCACATACATAAGCAACTTGTGATAAATTGTCCAGTTCTGTAAAGCTGAGCTTTTCTTTCTGCTTCCTTTTTCGTTATTATTTTTTTCCTCTTTTTTTTTTTTTTTTTCCCCAATGGAATAAAATGAAGGTACAGCCTTATAATGTAAATCCTGCTCACTAATGAGCTGCTTCTGCCCAAGGATCTGTGACTACATATAATATTTTCTTCTGTCTTTTGCTGTCTGTTTGCTTTGCAAAATATCAGAAATCATTTGGAAACTGACTTTTTAAAAAAAATTTAGATACATGCTTGTTCATAGCATTAGTTTTTTTAACTCATGACAGAAATACACAACTAATAAATGGGAGCAACTTTTGAGCTGAGCTCCTGCTCTTCTTTGCTCACAACTGATTCTAAGTTTTACATCAAATATCATCTGTTCTGTGAGGTATCATTGATAAAATTAAACAGTAACTTAAGATCCATTGAAAGAGACATTCAAAGATCATACAGACTAACATATGTGTTGCATTAGAGTATAAACACTTGGCAGAAAATTAACACCCTTGCATTCCAGCTGGTCCTCAGAGATCAGAGGGGCTGGGTGCAGCTGGCCTTAATTTCTGATTCCTGCAAATTCAGCACTATAAGCCTAATAGTGTAAAATAGGCAGTATGATTCACAAATAGTGCAGTTTAACAATTCAGCTCTATAAATCCAGTTGCATTGAAAAAATCTGCTTGCTGTAATCACCGACTGGAGAACAAAGTAGTTTATTGAAGAAACTGAAGTACAAATTCAGAATTTCCAGTGCTAAATGCACTTTGACAGAGCTCCAACAAGAACAATAATGTTGTATTAACCCAGATATTAATATTATTGTTGTTGTTATTGTTATTGCTATAATTATGTGATTAAGCTTAGCAAGAAGGCCTGCCCAACTTGGAAGAGGGAAAGGAGAGTAACCTGTTGACTGTCTCCAAGGTCTTTTTGTCTTCTTCCCAAACAGGTTAAATTTCTACCCTCCTTATATAACACATAATCTTATCCCACTCTCCCTCTTTTGAATTACATGATCTAGGTGGAGAAGTGAGTAATATAGCCACATATGTGGTAGCACATACTACATAAAAGTTATTAGTGTATGCAGTAGCATGCAATTTAATATATAACTGACTTTATTGGGCAAAAGTTACTTGTTTTGCCATATGTCCTTCGAAGTTCAGATCATGACTTTGTTCCATTTGTGCTGTTCCTCAGAGCTGAAGTGTGACCATCCTACCTTCACCTTCAGCCCAGTCATTCTCCCTTGACATCAACAAGGCAGCTCCCAATGTGCACAGGATAACAGCAGGTACAGTGCAGGCCATAGGCAGTGAGCTACAGCCCTGGCCTTGGCCCTTGGTTGTCATCTCACACCTCGGTGCTGTAGACAAGGACTTTTTTTACTAGATCAAGTTTCAATGTTTGATGTAAGCCATAATCCTATTATTTTTTATTTTTTTTTACATTTCAATTCTTTCATAGCTGCTGGCAGCTCAATCCTGCAGTCACTGAGGTTTCACCAATGTCTCAGCAGTTCATGCAGGACTGATGAACAAAAATTCATATGGCAATGGAAGTGCAAAGAGATCAACAAAACAATATGTGCAAAATTAAAGTCAGAATGCAACATCACTCTGAGTCTAGAAATAATTGTCCAAAATTGAATATGTAGAGTGAATGGAGATCCGACGAGGAGTCACATGGATTACTTCTTTATGCTTTGACAACATAATGTAGAGGAGAGATCTCAAATTCCCACATAAAAAAGTATTTGATAACCCTGTGTCCAGCAGAACACTGGGTGCATTGTGATCTAGACAGTAAAAAAGAAACTTGTGCAAGGAAAACTCTGTTGTGTAATCTTATTATGTCAAAGGTGTCTAGTTGAAAAGTGGCTCTGTACCCAAATTCAAGCTGGTTCAAATCTGTACTGGCATGCAAGCAGCACAGAACAGGTCTAGTATTAATGCTATTTATGTTGCACCCTTTCAGACTGCACATCTGGTGTCCCCAGCTTCCTGCCCATATATATTGTAGATGTTTCCGAACTGAAGAGTTTCTTCCTTTTGAGAACCTGTAAACGTAGTCTTGAAATGTACATAACTCACATTTTACAATTCATTTAGCCCAGGATAATAGGAAGATTTTTTTTTCTGCTTAATTCAGCTGTCATGGTTTAATCCCAGCCCAACTAAGCACTGTGCAGCTGCTCCCTCACTTATTCCCAGAGATGGGGGAGAAAATCAGAAAAGTGAAAAAACTTTGTGGCTTGAGATAAAGACATTTTAATTGGTGAAGCAAAAGCCATGCATGCAAACAAAGGAAAATTGGGAATTAATTTCATCTCTTCCCATGGCGGGCAGGTGTTCAGTCACCTCCAGGAGAGCAAGGCTCTGTCACACCTAATGGTGGCTTGGGAAGAAAAAAGCCATCACTGGAATACTCCCTTTTTCTTCCCCACAACTTTATCTGTTGTGCATGAGACTGTATTGTTTTGAATATCCCTTTTGGGATATCTGGGATATTGGTATTGGAACCAGCTGTCCTGGCTGTATCCCCTCCCAGCTCCTTGTGCACTCTTAGACTCCTCGTGGGTGAGGTGGTGTGAGAAGCAGCAAAGGCCTTGGATCTGTGTAAGCACTGCTCAGCAATAAATAAAACATCCCTGTCTTATCTACACTGTTTCCAGCACAAATTTTAAACATATTTGTGCCTGAACTAACACCATTTGCTTTTTATGGAAGTCTAGCTTCTAATTTTCCCTCCCAAACAGATTTCTTAATAAATTAGTGGAATAGTTTCACTTGCAATAAAACTCCACATTTGATGTTTTTAAGAATTGAATCATTAAGGGAGACTTTTTTATTGTTTTTCAAAGACATGATGAGGCCAGGCAGAATAAACTCTTTCATCTGACAATAACTACCGTAAAAGACATAGACATACATAAGAAGTACATAACCCATTCAGAGAGAATGAACACATGGAGAAACATATGTTTGAAAATTACCTGGTTTTGTGGTAATCTGACAGGGAATTGGGCTATGTGGTGATTAATGCTGATGAAAATTCTGTAACTCCCATCATAAAAAAGTATTCATCAGTAGAAAGTGATTTGTTATTCTGGGGAGAGTAACTTAAACAGAATTCTTGACAGGTTCTTATGTCTGTTCTGCTAAATGTAGGCCTTGATATAACTCAGTGGTTCATTTGGAATTATTGGAAAATCACAGACTTTTGATATTGACATTTACTAAGTACATCTGTGAAATAAACAGCTGACCCTATGTAAGAGAAAACCAATTAAACCAGGTTTTCCTTGTAATAAATTGCAGTACTGTACACTTGGGCTTTTTTATGTTTTTACCTTCCTTCTAACTTTGGGGCAGATTAGCATTTAATCATAAAATACATGCTTTTGTTTTTTGTCGAAATATGACCAGATATTAAACACAAACACCTTAGAAAATACTAAGCAGAGCTCATATATTTTCTTTCTCTTGCCAGTATCACGAGGCATCTTAACATGCTTAATGAAAAAAAATTAATGACCATATGTCCACAAAATATGTTATAGAAGAGTGAGATGTATTCCCTTTTCACTGCAATCATAAATCACACAACTGAACCTCAGTCCAGTAGGTGAGCAAGGAATTTGAGCCATGACAGCAAAAGAGTAACCCCTGAGTTTTTCTTAGCATATCAGCTTTTCTTCTGTCCAGAATAGGAATCTGCTTATTAGGTAGAGAAGCCTGGTGAAGGTGATGTGGGATCCTGAGGGACAGACAGACAGACACCACGTCAGTGAGTTGGTAATTTAACAGAAGCTGTTTCTGAGGAAGAATCAGTCTGGAGCTGTGCACAGCTCTCCCACAGCTGAGATCAGGTGGCATCTGCTGGGCCAGCAGTGCACAAGCTGAGGGGAAAAGTGGATGAGAAACGATGAATTTGGGTTACTGACTGATATGCCGGTGGTGCAATTGGCATAAAGCTGACGTTACACTTATCCCAGCAGTATGAATTTTCCTAGGCTACTCGTGCTCTTTGCCACTGCACTCCCTTTCCCCAGCAGGTATCTGCTATGCTGCACAAATCAGCTTTACAAGTTTAACAGGAATTTTTGGTTTGATGTTAATTTTGTTCCTGCAATGGACTGTATAACCACTGGAGCTTATATAGACAGCGCATTCAGTGTTCCTGCACACATGCAACCTTTCTTGTTGTGTGGTAATTTCTTACAATATTTAAGTCATCTCTTAAGTGAAAGATCAATTTTGCTCGAGCTTTGTGCTCATTAACAAAGTAAATCCCTACCCACAGGCTATGATCGCCTCATACTCACAGTAAACCACTTCCAATCGCGGTGAAAAGAATGCAGTGCATCTTTTAAACTGAGACGGGAGAATTGCCGGTGACCAGAGCTGTTGCATATGCAGAAAACACCGAAGGTTTTATGGTTCGAATTGTGCAAAATTGAACACGCGGCAGCTCCAGGGAGCGAGAGTTGGAACACCAAAGCAGAGGACTGCGGACAGCAGCAAGGCAGCTCGAAACCCCGAACTTCTCGGACCCCGCTGGCTCTACGGTTTCCAAAGGGGGCACAAAACTAGACGGGAAGTGAAAAAGGCCGAAGGGGGGACGAGGGAGGTGGGAGAGGCGGTACAAACCTACCAGGGAATTCGTAAGCCTCTTCCGCCAAGTAACTGTAAAGAGAAAGGTGGAGCGCCTTTTTAAACCGAAGATTGCTGGGCATCAGAAAAGCCCGAGAACGGCGGCCAATGTTTGCGGAGCGCGGGCTTTTCGAAACCTGCTGGGCTCTGGGGGCGGTGCGAGGCTCTTGCCTGCGCAGCTCTCCGCCTCCCGGCTGATCGCAGATCAACTACGGGGAGCCGCAGCATGCCCATCCCCATCCCCATCCCCACTCCCTCTCCCAAGAGCCGAGGGGCCTGGAGCGGTGCCCCTCACTGCCCCGAGGAGCTCCGCTCAGCACCGATTTCTTGCAACGAACAGAAGGTATCTGCACCGGCGCTCGGGGATTATTTATTTAATCAGTTGTGCCGCGGTGAGCTCCGCTACGGTGCTGCTCTGCCCCGGCGAAGAAAAAAAACAAAAACCTTTAATTGCGCACGGATAACACGAAAACAGACTTAAAAGAAATTTAAGAGTTCCAGCTCTTTTTGTGAATAGTTGGGTGGCTCTTAAAAGAGCCGTTGGGTTTATCTGCAAGGCAGATAGAAAAGTTTTTTCTGCACCATTTATTTTTTCTTCGGTGCTGCCTTCTTCGCTTTGGCTGTTTTAGGCTTAGCCGCCTTCGGCTTGGCAGCTTTGGGCTTCACCGCTTTCGCCTTGGCCGGGCTCTTCGCTGCTCCTGCAGCTTTCTTGGGTTTTGCAGCCTTTGTCACCTTCTTGGGGCTCTTCGCCGCTTTCTTGGCTGCGGCGGCGGCTGGCTTCTTCGCCTTTTTAGGGCTCTTTTTCGCGGTCACCGGCTTCTTGGGCTTCTTGGCGGCGCTGGCGGGCTTCTTAGCCACCGGCTTCTTGGGCTTGGCTGCAGCAGTTTTTTTCTTCGGGGCCTTTTCCTTCACCTCTCCGGGTTTCTTGCTGAGGCGAAAAGAGCCAGAGGCGCCGGTGCCCTTGGTCTGCACCAGAACGCCCTTGCTGACGAGGCTCTTAATGCCCAGCTTAATGCGGCTGTTACTTTTCTCCACATCGTAGCCGCCGGCGGCCAGCGCCTTCTTGAGCGCGGCGAGGGAGAGCCCCTTGCGCTCCTTGGAGGCGGACACGGCCTTGGTGATCAGCTCGGTGACGCTGGGCCCCGCGGGCTTGCGGGCTTTGGAGCCGCTCGCCGCCTTCTTCGGCTTCTTGGCGGCGGGAGCTTTGGCCGGGGCCGGGGCGGCGGCGGCGACATCGGGCGCGGCGACGGGAGCGGTCTCGGCCATCTCGGCTGCTGCACGATCCGGGCGAACAATGGAAGCGCCGCCGCCGCCTCCCCTTTTATAGCAGCGCCGCGCGCGCTGATTGGTGCGCGGCGCTCCGCTCCGCCGCCCGGCGCCGCGCCTGTTGTGTTTCTTCAAGGTCCAAAAAGGACTTTTTCTTCACGAAATTTGCCGCCTATGCACCCCGTTTCTTGCCGGGAGGGAAGGGGGGAGTCTGTCCTACAAGCTAGTGGAGTTTCCCGTTAGAAGGAGCAGAAATGAGAGAAACGCGACCCCTGAAACTTAGCGGTGAGCAGCTGCAGAGACCGCGGCAGAGAGAAACCTTCGGTTTAGACTTTAATTTAAAATTTTACCGTGAGCTAAATGGGCACAACTGGCACAAAATCTTGTTCTTTAGAAGGTTCTCTACAAGGCAGGTAAAAAACAGAGTGGTTTGAGCGGTTGGCGTCAGAGTGAATGGATATTTAATCCGAGGAAGTAACACAGTTCTGCCCCATGGTCCCAGACGCTGATGCAGAGCTGGCTCCCTGGACTGAGCCGCTTCCCTCCCAAATCAGCCCGCTCAGCGTCTCCGCAGAAATCACGGGCTCTCAGCTAATGCCTTTGGGGAGATGCTGGTGCTTTAGCAGCGTGTGTGAAAGTCAATATTACTTTCCTTATACTTCGGCATTCCAGTGGAACAAGGCACCGACGTGTTCTCTCTGTACACTGATGTTTCTGTCATTCACTGCATTTTCGAGACAACCTTAACGAAGTAGCTTTTGTTTGTTAAATTCAGAAAGCAGGATAACTGCAATTAGTTTATCTGCTTTTAGTGTTAATATGTATAGAGTAATAAGAGTATATTATAAAAGTAATTATTCTTCTCTGTCTCATAATTAATTAAAATGGATTGGGAAGGAGACTCTGGAGTGTACTGCATTTTTAATTGTACCGGGAGTTAAACCTGAAAATTCGTCTTTTGAGGGTATGTTAAGTAGCCAGGAAACTTAAAGCAAAACTGGTTTCTCTGGTTTTAATGAATGAATGTTGATTGCGTAAGTTTGTATCTTTGATAACACCATCTGGTGATTCACCATGTCTTTACTTTCAGAAGAAAAGAAAAAAGCGAGAGGATTCCTGCGCTGAGAAGTGGCAGCTCGATATTACAAACAGTGGATGGATTCTTTCTTTTTTTCTTTGTCTTCTCTTTTAATGCAATGTTGCTTTCTTTCAAACACACAGCAGTTAACTATCTGCCTGCAGCAGTATTGTGTTCTGTACCCTCCATATCCGGGGCTATCATCAGCTCCTAAAACCCCCATGAGCAACTATATTCAGAGCTAAAAGAAGGTGTGAAAGGATGAACGAAATCTCGGTAAAACGAAGAGTCCCAGCCATTTGAGAGTGTGAAAATTAAGAAACACAGTGACTTGAGTAATTTGAGAAATGTCATGCTCTTTTCTTATTACCATGTTTAAAATATTAACTGCTACAATCAGAGGAAATACTAGATTTAGTATAGTAATTTGAAATACCTTTTTTTTCCCTGCTTGAAGGTAAATGTTGAAAAAATACAGCTTAGTGAGGTCTCCCTTAGTAAACCTATAAAACAAAGGTAAATGCATTTTTTGGATAATAATAACAAGTCTAACAAAACAGTGGTGTGACCCTGCAGAATGTTGCATTGTTTCTTGATTAATCACAGAAATGAGAAAATAAATGTAATACCCATTTAATCTGATACTTATTTCCTACAGTGGGGGAGGATTAAGGCTTTTGTGACACTACTGAACACTATCAGAATGCTGAAAATATTTTTTATCTAAACTAGTAATAGTAACCCCATAGCCAAAAACAAGTTCAAAACCTCCCAGAGGCACTAGTGCTAAGATCTGTAGTTGTCTAGTCCCTTGATATTCGTATATAAGTGGTTCATCTGTGTCAAGATATTCACATTTATTGGCAGCTTTCTGTCTAATTTCTGGGTTTGTACAAGAACTGTTGTAATCTTGAACAATCCTTGAAAGACTTAGTAATCCTTTTATTTCTTCCTACTTCTTTGTGGCAGAAAAGAATTCTGAGATTCCTGGAAAAATAAACAGAACATTAGTATTTTTCATTATTTTCATTTTCATGATTGTACATTGATTTACTTAGAAACTGGAAAGTGTTTGCAATTGTGATTCTACTCTCTCAAGCTCATCTCTCCTTCATGTAAGATATCACTGAGCCTTGGAGATAATTTCTACCTACTGTGAGAGACCAAGAAATGACAGATTGTCAGTGTGGGGCAGTGGATGCTCATAGGAAATGAACCATCATGAACTCCTATTCAGCGGAGACCAAAACAAAGGTGAGCATAAGACAGGAAGGGCAGACCAGAGTGTTGATGCAAGTCAGAGATAATTTGCCTTTTTTCCTCAGCTGTATTTTGCTGTTGGATATTCAAGTGCAATAGCTTAGGATCATCCAAGTACTTGTATTGTAATCAAATTAGTGGGCTTTAATTTCTCAGCCTCTGTAGACTAAAATTTATTTTTTCATCCGCCATGAAAAGCCAAAAAAGGGAACATCTGCTCAACAGAGCAAGTTGATTCATTTGCATACGTATACCAGGAAGGCTTCCCAAGTCTTTGATAGTCCATCATTTCTTCATCTTCTTCAGAAGTTGTGTTTGGATATCATCACTCCATTCACCTTCCCCATAATTTTAAAATCAGCAAATGTCAATAGAAACATAAAATTATTTTAGTGAAATATTGTTGCTTTTCTTCCAGAGAATAAATATGCTTATGAATTAGCACAGGCCTATACAGAGATTCTACCCAGAATTTTTTAGAAGGCTAAAAGAGGGGGAAAGAAGACAATAAAACACCATTGTGAAGTGGGTACATGCTCTACCCACACATGCTGTAAATTAATTCAACTTTATGCAGATTGCTTAATGAAATTTGACATTTACCCTTGCTCCTGTTCTGAAGATGAAAAAGGTAGGTAGTAAGAAATTGTTTTTCTGTACTTCAATGCCAAATTTCAAAGCTGATGCCTAGCACAGGTGTTCTAATGTAAAATAAACAATGAATCTTTGCTACTTCTGCTTAAATAAAGGAAAGGCTACCATATTTTCCACTGTGCCCACTGACATTTATTTTCCTTAATGACTAGTAAAGTGAAAATATCCTATAACAAGTGTAGATTTAGTATTTCCATTACCCCATGCCTAAATCAACCCAAATTTTTCACCAAGTGTTGTGGCTTCCACAATGGTCAGGCTCCTGGCTTGTTTGTACAGCAATCTTATTTTATCTATCTGATAATTTCTGGGTATAGCCCAAGACCTATGTTGAGATATGCACATCAGAATGCTTAAAAAGTCTGTATTCCACATTTGAGAGACGTACAAATTTATTTTTTTTTTCTTGTGCAATTGAACATGCCTCATTTTCAGGAAATAAAACAGTTTTTAAGTAGCAAATTCAAATGAATACTATTGAAATACAAATGGAAACTATATTGCTGTCTTTCATTCTTTGTCCACTAATACTCTTGAGAGGACAGAAATGCTCTTGGTCAGCATGCAGAAACACAAATGGACTGTAATTGTTTTTCCCCTCTTAAGTGAAACACTAGGGGTTTCTGATGCAGCATAAGACCTAAATCTGCTGCTGGAGTTGGCAAAAAGGAGCAAATTGTGAGAAGGGACATTTTATGCTTAGTCAACTGTACAGATCTAGTAATAAGCATGGACTACAAAGAGCCACTTTCCAGGTTAGATTCCCAAAGCTGATTGAAGAATGTTGTGACCTATGTGGTTTTTTAAAAAGCACGTTAGA